CCCCATGTTGGGAACCACTTCTATATGGGATGGACCAAAAACATTAATTCCTCTAACTAAATATGACTGTTCATGTCTATAAGGAAGGTTGGTGTAAATTGTAAATATGTTGGTTTGTGTATTTCTGCCATAATCTGGGGCACACACATTCCATTATATTTGTTTTTGACAACTAAACTAGTAGTGGATATTCACCAGGATACACTTTAACTTTAACTAGTTAAATCCGCCATGGTGACTCTGCCAATGACCCTGTGCTGTGTGCTTAGGTAAACAGATTCCACCCCTGGAAAACCCCGAGGTGGACAGCAACGACTCCTTTAAACTCACCAGACAGCCGGCTCCATCCGCCAGGAGGTGCTGCTAGTACCAGCAGTGGCTGATGAGATTACTTCATCCACACACCGCGGGACCACACCAGCACACAGCACAGTCCACAATGCACACAGTGTCTTACTCCAGGGAAAGACGACGACAGTGGACAGAGGTCAGCTTTGCACGTGTGGTCAACTGCAACATGAGACAGAACAACGTACCAACAGTATTATATGTGTGTGTCATTGCACATTTATTTCATTTAGTTGTAGCAGTTTCTGAGGAGGTCAGGAAAACCTTCAGTGTGTCCCCTTGAGGTGGTGTTTTACCTGAACTGCATTAAGATTTCTGTCTGTGTTGCATGCATAAGGTCATTGCAAAGAGGCAGTTTTTTTTTTTATCCCATTTCACAGTAACTTTTAAACTTCAGAACAAATAAATAACAACTGATCTTGCTGATGTGCTTTTTAAAGCCGGGTGTTTGCTGTAGATGCAACTACATTTTCATTTCAAGAGTCAGCTGCTCTGTAGATTTTCGTCACACTGTGGCTCTCAAATCGCACACATTAAAATTAAAGGTTTTTTTTAATATTCATTTTTATCAAGGCTACACTTTTCCTCCATGGAGCTTTTATGTACGTGTATGTATCACTCTTGTATAGAATCGAATTAGAGTATTTGAATATGAGGTTGAGGAGATCAAACCTCAGACGAGCGTTCACTTCTGTAGCTTAAATGCAGCGGCTTTACATTCCACCTCGTCATGTGTTCTCACACATTTGTTGCATAAGGGTTAACTGTAATGCTGCAGAGTGAACAGCTTAGAGGCCTAAATCGTAATTACAGTATGACACCCCCTGTTGAAACACTGTGACCAATACGAGAATTGTTTACATAGCGGTTTGTTAAAGATGTTTTCTACATGCTGAAATGTGTTGTATGAGATTTCACTACAGGGAATGACTGACTGCCAAACATGAGTTTTCCATGAAAATGGGTTACATTTGTACTCTTTAGAGGAGAAAAGATCTGCATGTATTTTACTCTAAACATGTCTAAAGCTGTTAAACAAACAAGCAAACAGTGAGAATAGTCTTAAGCCCAGTTGTATAGATCAACAATATCATCTGCTGTTTCTTTGGCGGTATTGTCCTTAGTTTGGATCACCTGAGAAATGTATAACAGCACTTTTTCACATACATTTAACAAAAACTATGAATGTGGAGTAACTTTTTGTCCCAGTACTCTTTTAATTTAATTGATTTTTTTGATCAAACATTGAAATGGACATGAACGTTGACTTACGTAACAGTACATTACACAATACAGTACATTTTCATAACTTTTCATACATTTTCATACAAAAGTTTGTACTTAAATAAGTTAGTACAAATTCAAACATAATTTTAAAATGGACTATTTTAACCGACATGTATCATGGGATAATGTAGTTTAATTCGTCATTTTTATTGCAATTATTGTCTCATTTTGCCAATATGTACCATTCTCTTTAACAGAAAGTCACACCAAACTCCTTTTTAAAAAATCTGCCAATTAATGTGGCCTTACCTACTTGAAAAAAAATTCCCATACATCCCAGAAAGTGACGTAACCTAACCATGGGAAAATGTATATCACATACAATCACCAAAGTTAGTTTGCTTCAAGCAAAATGTCCAACATGTGACTACAATCTTCCACTAAAATGTAAACTGAATTAGTATCTGCTTGGCGGCCCAGATGTCCAGAATGTCAATTTCACCAGCATCAAAATGTCATAAAATGTAGCTTTATATAAAAGCAGTTGGGTATGACATAACCTGCTTACAAGAGACTGTTACATATTGAGCAAAGAAATGTGATTAAAGGTCACATGTTGACATTGTGATGAGATTTCTAACATGAGTATTTTTGTTGCCACACGAGTGCCTTTTTTAAAAATGTTTTTCTGAACAAGTGTATGAAATGGCTAAAAAAAAAAGCGTACTGCTAGAATAATGCATGAATTACTTGACTAAATCAGTACAGGCTAATTGTACGCATAACAGTCAACTTTGAAACTGCCAATTATCTGCAGCCATCCTTATCCTGTATGTCTAAGTCATGCTTCCCTGTATCCTCTGTAGGCCAGATTAACTTTTGTATATTAATCAGTGTAATAAAGTAGTGATTATTCTATATTTCAGTTTTTTTTTTTTACTTTACAATGAGTGTTTCGAAATGTCAAAAGACAACACTGTTTTTTTTACTATTCTACTTTGATTTTATGTTTAAAGTTTGTTGACGGAGACCAGAAGATGAGTGAGATTCACTAACATAAGGTCGTGACTTCAGTTAACCTCCTGACCTCGAGAGAACCTGGTTTTACATCTCACCTGAGCAACCTGACATGACTTTAGTAAGTGACATTACTCCGCCTCAACCTGCGTCAACCAACCAAAATAAGAAACACGTTACAAATTAGTCTTGTTTTATTTTGCACATAAATGGTTCATGTGACCTTTTTTTTTGGGGGGGCTGTAAACAGCACAAATTACATGCAGAGTGGAGCAAACCACAGAAACCTATTCAGTGCACAGCGGTGGATTACCTCCTCTGGAGCTTACAGTAGCGGAGGTCTACACTCCTTCTCACGAAGGTGGATTTTACCATAAAGCCACGGTTGTCAGTGGTTTCTAAGAGAGTAAAGTGGGATAATAATAGTTCAAACATACTGTATTTCACACACAATGTTCTTCTTTTAAACTCACAGTGACGTGAACCCTCAAAGTCACACAAATTAAACATATATTGTTTATACTGTTTCTTTCTCACTGGTTCTATTAAAACATACACCTACATTTAATTACTACAAACAAGAACTCCTGATATGTAGCTTTTTTTGGTGCATTCACCTTGTCGACCATCTGAACTTTAAAATAATAATAATAATAATACCATGTGTGTTAATGTGTTGATAAAGTGTTCTCTTAAAAGTGGGGAGAAAACAATTCAACTTAACATAATAGCTTAAGACAGACACACTTGTGGAAGTCATTTTTTTTCTATTCTTTATGCCTTTACAACTAGTAATTTTAATTAATCTTGACTATGAAATAGCCTGACCAATAAATTGGTAAATTGGCAAAGATGTCGGTCAATCAGAGTACAGAATAGTCAAAGTTTTAGATTTATAAACGGTGTTAGTGTAGTGTATCTCACTCAGTACATAGCCCAGCATAACATTGTGTAAGTTCTATACAATTAAAAATGTTAAGGGAGGCCCAGGCTAATGTAAGGAGCGTCACCATGTGTTGATAATGTGATTTTAAGTGTATGAGCTAATTAAGAGTTTAAGGAGAACCCTTATAAGTTCCACATGTGCTGCCAAAGTGCTAGTTAAGTTAAGTGTTAAGTTAATGGTGTGTATTTTAACCTCAAAAACAGAACATGTAGTAGATGTAGAGTAAAACGTTAATGTCTTTACAGACAGCAGTCCAACACAGATATACATCAGTGGTTCCCAACATGGGGGTCGCAAGGCCTTCTTTAATTTTATCACATTTATTTAGGAAGGCCTGATTCTGATCACTTTGTTTATTCCTGTGTAGAAAATCTAAATTAAATTTGAGGTAATTATTGAAGATCTAAACTTTGCAGACCCAGAACACAAGGTATCCTGTATGATCAGATCATAATTGGTATAAAAGAGAGGCCTATTAAGTAGTTAGGATTGTTAAAAATAGAAAGAAAAAAATACAAAATACAGACAGAAAATTGGATAAAAATATCCCTAAAATATCAGGAAAACTAATCTCTGGTGTAATATTTAATAATCTGGTTGGAAACTCATCCAAATCGATCCACTTCCTGCAGTTATTGTGTTTGTTATTTGGGTTCATTGTGCAGTTTATCAGCTATTCTGTGTTGTTAGTGTGATGCATTGAATATAATTACTCAGCAGTGTTGGGCTAGTTACTCATTACTCTTTTAAAAAGTAATATAATTACTTATTACTCCCTGCCAACAGTAATTAGTTACACCACTGGTTATATTACTTTACTCCTACACCTCACAAAATTGGTAATTGTGTCCTTTCTCTCCAAAATTCTGATTTACGACGATTAAAATCCAGTTTTGTTTGTTAAAATCAAATTAATGTGAATATTTCCGGCTGCTGAATGTTTCCATCGATTACAAAAATAAATCCAAGGATGTGACTGAAGTGTTGGATTTCAAATCAGTAGAAGGTAACAAAAGTAATACTGTAACTAATTACTTTTTGGAGGAGTAAGATAAGATAATGTTCTTTTAGTGATCCCCCAGTGGGAGAAATTCAAGTCAGACACAGCAGCAATAGTGGGAAATATAGTGCAAAAAGTACAATAAAGAATAATAGAATATTATAAATATATAATATAAAATATAAACCCTATACTGTAGCTGTTATTAGTAGTAATAAATAACTGCCCCAACACTGTTACTCTGATAGAAAATAAAGGTAAAAATAACATTAATAATAACATCTATAAACCAGCACAGGTTATAAACCATACATTTAACCAATATAAGGACTCGTTTCATAAACTGTGTGTCCCCGCGCTCTTAAACCAGTTTACTGTTCTAATCACATCAGTTGGTGGAGCCACGAGGGCGCGCAACAGGGTTCTGCGCTCGCGCGTTCAAGTATTTATACCCACACGCTCGTTCGCAGAGCTCAGTCAGCGTTTGACTCAGTAGTGGAAGGGGAGCGAGCGTTTCCACTTGTCAGTTAACTCCCCGATACCGAAATCAAGTGCAGCCCCCCCTCCCCGTAACAGCAAACATGTCAAAGTTGGATCAGATCCTTGTCCTCGACCCTCCCTGCGACCTCAAATTTAAAGGTAGGTAACATCAGAGTTTATTGACGCGTTTATATATATATATATATGTGTGTGTGTGTGTAATGTTCCAGCGAGTGGTGGTGGCGGAGAATTAATGTGACTGGAAGGAGAAGAAGAGAGATTTTTTTTTTTTTTTTTTTTTAAACACTCTTCCCCCCTCAAGCGAATTTACGTTGCTAGCTAGCCAGCTAGCGCCCACCGCCATTTTAAGTTAGCGAGCGACACGACGGGCCGCTGTATCCTCGCGCTGTAGTGACGTGGAGAGCCGGCGTGGCGTCGCCCGTTGGACCGACCGCCATTCACGGCCAGCTTTAGTGACAACACCTTGGCAGAAAATAAAATAAATACGTGCTGGCTGTGGTTGTGTGTGTGTTTGTTTTTTAATAAACAACAACCGGATTTAAAAGCGTTGTTTCTAAGCAGCAACGTCAGCTAGTAACGTTCTGCCTTCTGCTAGTAGTGTTAGCAACAGCAAACTGTTGTTTCCTTCGGGGGGGGTTATTATTCCCTGAAACAGCTCACAACCCGGACGTAATATGGAAGGAAATTACCCCCCCCCCCCTCCTTTTTTTTTTGTTTTAATATAAAGGATAAATGTATTCGTCCAGGCTGACACACGCCTGTCAGATAAGTTAGCTGCTAGAAGTGACTGACTGTCGGTTGTGTTGGTAAACTCCGCTAACTGCCGTTTAACAGCCTACAGACAGTGTTCACCGACATTTAGTCCGTTTCCGCCGTCAACCACCGGCAGCTGACGGTGGATGTGCTCGGTGAAATGTGTCCACGGGTTGTGTTTCACGCCACATTGGCAACGTTGAGTCGTCGCTTCAGAAAACTCCCACTGATTTAACGTTAAGGGTTTGAAGTTTGGGGACATATTTGTGTGATTGTTCAACTGTTGCTCTTGTTGTTGGGAGATCGAGATAACAGCAGTGAAACTGTATTGTGCTGATGTTAGGTACAAGTTTCATTGTAGCTACTCTGCCAAGGCCATGGTATTGTTAAAAAAAATAAAAATTAAAACAAATACCAGCAGTTGAGCTATTTATAATGATCACTACTCATTTTGACCTGTAATTCTTCTCTGTATTTGTCCCAGTTATTAGTTTATATATGAGACACTGTGTTATTGTTGAATATACCACTGTCATACAACCAAGACTCTTTCAGCCTATCGTCTTGCTGATCCTAAGAGGCTGATTGTTGGTTAGGTCTAGGTATGTGCAGATGCTGATTGTGTCCTCGGCTTGACATAATTGTTGGAAAGGTCACCAGTTTAAATACCAGAGCCACAGGATACTTTTGGGTGGGGTAAAGTAAACAGAAACTGAATTGATCACATCTTTTACAGACCATTACACAGTTCAGATCCTACACCTGATGGTACCACAGCCTGGCAAGAAGCAAGAGTATCTTATGTTGAACACAACTCCCATAATCACCTGTATTTTATTAAACTGGTTGGTGTTTGTTTTTGTTTTTTTGTAAGGCCTGTAATTGCATCATCAGGTGAGCTGTGTGTTGAATAGAGTATATAAGGATGCAAGTTAATGAAACTGCAAGAGAATACAGCTGAAAATCAACAAAACTAGTGATATTGAACTGTAGCAATTAGTAGTATTGACTTTAATCCCGTTTATCTGATCAAACTTGTACTAGTTTGTGCTAGGGTTGGGCGAACTGTTCCAACCGGCCACCATCAGCTCAACAACCGGCGATTGCTGATATATTGGTGCAGGGATAGTTTCAGATGGGAGATGTGTGTGTGAGTTTGCTAGCAATACATAAACAAAATAAACTGCCAATAAAGGAAATGTTCTTAAACGATCAGAAATATACAACTGTACACCTTCTGAATTCATCTTTTTCTTTCACTGAACAAAGACTAGCTTCATTGACTCATCATAAAACGCACTGAAGAAGCGAAATAAAACTCACCATAACTCTCTTGGTCAGTCTTTCCGCAGTCGAACAATCACCAACTTTGGTTTGGTTGAAATAAACCCTCCAGTCACTGAGTTAGATGTGAAAATATTCTGCCTCTTGAAATTGATATTGATATTTAGTCTGATGGCAGAGACATGGTCCATCGTAATCTGATCACGGACCTCATTTTACCTGATTAAGAAATTCTGCTCCAATTAGACTTATTCTGATTACTGATCAGTCACACGGTTTACATTTTCTGTCATCAGATTAAACTTTTACCCTTTTATACACTGGAATGGATGCAAGGCTGTAATTGCAAAGTTATGACAAAGGTGATGTCGATACTGATAAACAACTGTTCTGTTCTATTGCACTAAGAACAAGACGTGTAATCTAAAGCATGGGAAAGAAATGTAAATCAAAATGTAAAACGGTTGCAAATGTATTGGCATTTCTGCTTAGGAGGACAACTAGCAGGCTGACTTGAATCTGCACGAGTGCTCCATCTGATCTAGTATAATTTGAATAGTCCTGATTTAATAACCTTGTATATGCACGCCTGAGACTGACTACAACGTATTATTCAAAGAGTTAGATTTTTATTTTTCAGATTGGAGGGTTTTCTGTATTTTAGGAGGAACACGGAATAGGAAACATTTAGTTTCCCTCTGTGTTTGAGAAGGAAGATGACCACAGCTCCTTTACTGTCACAGAGGCCGAGCTAAATCGGTCTGCGTGTATCTGAGAGCTGGTCTGTTTTAGAGCCTCTGCTGGGATTCCTCCAGCAAGCTAGAGGGGGCAGCCCTCCTTTCCTTGGCTGGTATTTTTAGAGTAGGACTGGCCTGGGGGACCCTAACTCTGCATACATGCAACGAGATGAGAGAGACGATGCTAACGCTGCTTGAGCAAAGGTGGCATCTCAGAGTTGGGCAATGGATGCTATGTGGGTGTATATCTGACGCGCACAACTGCTTTCCAATGTTTCATCTGATTCAGTGTTGGTTTTAGCTATGCTCACAGTGTAGGGAACACACACTGTGTAGAAATGTACCCCAGTCATCCCTAAATACCTTTTTTTTGCTGAAGCAGTCGCTCACTTTTGAGTCTGTGTGACAGGACATCAGAAATGCTTCAGGCATGTCAGGAGGAATGCTTGACAAGCTCTAATTATCATACCTGCCATGTACTTGAACTGCGCCAAAACATCTGAAATTATTTCAATTTAAGAAATGGACTCGTATTAATGCTCTGAGTCAACCTTATGAGCATTCATTTTACTATCCATCAGTTTCACTGCCAGTTATATATGTGACAATAGGTCAGATTTTATCACAGTAACCATTTTGTTACAATAACAAAGTATGGCCACAGCAGGGGAAAAAAGCTAGACAGGAAAAACTACAAAGTTTGAAGCAGAGACTGTGTACAGAAATATCAGATGCCGCAGACACAGTGGCATTGACAAGGTTTTTCAGGTTTGTAGGAATGCCTTTGTGACGCACCTGTGTTGAAAACAACGCCCCAGTCATCTCCATAACTCCACATGTTAGCTTTAGCTAGGTGGAGCCACTCCAATATGGTCATGCATTGCTTCTTATCTCTCTGAGCACTGGGTGTGATGGAAGGCTGAATGTAGGCTTTGTGAACTCCAGAGCTTCACCCAAGCTGCAAAAGAAAGTAAAAAGAATATTGGATTGTGTTTATTTCTTGGGCATTTTACATGATTTTTTATTTTTATTTTTGTATGAAAACAATTGAAAGGAGTCAGGAACATTAGACAAATCACCATTGTATTTATAGAAACTATGTATTATGTATTAAGACTTTTTGTCCTGTAGGTCAGGGCACAATATGGGCACACATGCATCACGCTGGCATGTGTCCAGCTAGTGGCCAAAACTGAGGAAATATTAAACCAGAGCTCTTCTCCAGTTCAGAGGGTTGAATGCATTCCCATGAAGGTATGTCCCTCAAAGGATCTAAAGGGGAAGCTGTTTATCGTCAGGCATTTCCCTTCAAAAAGTGACATCACCTTTTGAAGCCTCTAGTTTTTGGTGTTTATAAGTGACCACATTGGGCAAAAGGGCGGAGCTGGGCACAGTACGTATTGCCACGTCTCTGTCCTGATTGTGTTTGTTTGATAACCCAAAGACACGCCATTGTAGCGACTTGTCAGTCACAAGGTAGCTGCGCCCTAAAGCATACCCTGCTTTATCATCTACTGTACTCTAATTTACCAAATGAACATCATGCTGTATGGAAGAAGACTTGAAACAAGCGATTGAGACCCTAAATTCTTTTATGAACATGTTTACTGAGGTAACAAATCAAGGGAGAAGTAGGGTAATTTTCTCATAAGCTCGCATACAATCTGACTTCTTTTTGCAACCTGTGGCGTTTGGCCCTGCTGGCCATTAGAAAGAGTGCCAGTTTAAGGCCCTTCAGCCTTGGCTTCACTTTTCAGACCCAGAGGCTACGTCCACTTATCGCGTCTATGCTTCAAACGCTTGACAAATTGTAAATACCTCCGGTTACATTAGATAAGAATGATAAAACCAAAGTTTATATTAGACATCAAAGACTTCACGGGCAACTGGCAAATGGCGTAGCAGGTAAAATCAGTAGACTTCACTCAGAGCGATGATGCCAGCTAACCATTCATCATGGGACGTGTTTTTTTTCCAGGCTCCCAAGCTAATTGCGCTGATTGAGTTTTATGTACCTCTGACTTGGCTTCCGTGATTTCGACATGACATGGCTGGATGCTGCTGACCGTGGTTAAGGACGTAATTAGAAGCAAGCTCCGTCACAAGATGGTGGACTATTGATCTCCTAATATATGACCTGGGTAGGGCAGGGCCTTAATTCCCAATATGAACATGGGACATCTATATGAAATTAGCTGTCTGGAAAATAATCCTAATTGATTCAGGTTGTTTGGCCTGTGTCCTTCTGGAGACATGCAAGGGGTGCAGGCAATTTCAGAGATCTTGATCTTTATTCATTTCTCATGATAAGATTTGCGTTTATACGCAGTAGGACCCCTCTATCAGGGCTATATTGTTGATAAAATGTTTTAAAATGCAGTTTTAATATTGCAAAAGACTACACTTCTAAAGGTGGACAAGCATCTCCTTAAAGAAGGTGCTCTTAAGCTTCTTTAATTAATTTGGAAGTAGCTCCAACCAAGCAAATTGTAGGCATCAGCATGCTTTTTATATACTAGAAAATATATTGGAAGTCATAATTGATATAAATAGAAATAAACTGGTAATATATCAGCGTGGTGCTGCCTACTGTTTCTTCATCTAAACCCTGTTTTTTTTAAGAATATAGTATCCTGCAATCCAGCTTCAAGCCAAGCAAGTCACAATTCAATTAGTTGTCTTAATCATGTCTGCCTAATTGAGTTGTAGCCTGACAGTATTTTTCAGCTAATCTTTTTAAAGTTCTTTTTCAACTTTGGCAACAAAACACTGCAGTCCTATCTGTCTTCCATGGATGAGGAGTAACTGGAAATATTGAATTTGTTCCATTTCTCCACTGGCCGTCCGTTGCTCCGTACAGCGTACTGTCCACTGACAGGTTTGGTGGTTTAATTCTGCAGCTCCCTCTGTTCATGTGTCCCTGAGCAAGATATTGAACCCAAAGATACTGCCCACAGCTGCCCACAACATGCAAACGCTATGAAATGGCAATAACGTCTGAAGGCTGAAAGGCTCTAGCCCCCCAATTCCTATTCATTGTTTTTTGAATTCTAAATTCAGCCAATTCACACTGGAAAATTGTGTCTCCCTTGCAGTTTCATGCAGCAGCAGATCATTTAAATTTTAGTTTGTTATTCAGCTCTGTAGTGGTGCAACTACTGCTGTCAGACAAATGCTACAGCTTAGTGTATTTCTTTCATTTACAGTTGTGCTGTGGGGGTGTACCCACGGGAGAAGACAAGTGTACTCCAAAATACAAAAATAATAATGCACTTGTGTTTGTGATTGTGTCCACCAGGTCCTTTCACAGATGTGATCACCACCAACCTCAAACTGAAGAACCCTTCTGACAGAAGAGTGTGTTTCAAAGTGAAGACGACCGCACCGCGCAGGTACTGTGTACGGCCAAACAGCGGCGTCATCGATCCCGGAGCGACTGTCATTATCTCTGGTAGGTTTTTAAGTAAAACATTTTTATTCATTAACTCTCTTTTTTCATTAAGTTCAGTGAACTGACTTCACTTTAGTCCACAAAATGTTGTTGCTAATTGAGAGAGACAGTGGGAAACCTGAGAGGGAAACTGGGTGAGGGAGTGCAGTTTGGTCGCAGGTCAATAAGGCCACATGCAAGGTTGATGCAGAGGTGTTAAAGCCCCAAGCTGTGATTTGTGGAAGCAGTTTTCACCTACATGATCCGCATTCCACTTGTGGCCCATGTGGTGTAGTGTACATATTGAATGTGGACAGAAACTGACCTGTACACCAGGTGGAGTATACGACTAACTGCTATTTCAGTGGCCAAATTCAGTAACTTACAAACAACCTTCCTTTTCTGGTAAAACTGCACAGTATGTTCACATGGTTGCTTAAATAGTGCAAGTGGGTTCTGGCATCCAGTATTTCAGCATTAACAAATATTAATTTCTGTAATCCACAGCTGAGGAAACATATGCTGCATAACACATCTTGCAAAGAGACTATGCTCATTTCCCCAAAAAAAAAGATACTGCACATGAAGATATGTTCAAGTCCTAAAATTGCCTTAACAGGACATTTCTGTAAATATCTTTGTGCGAACAAAACAAATAAGACAGTTACGATTGGAGTGTCACTAGATGCCCTCAAATACACAGCAGTAATCTAGCCATAATGCAGTAAAGGCAGTAAGGTGAGCAAGGTGGAGCCCAGGCAAACACTCATGTCTGACTAAGTTATTGTGATTGTATTTATAATCCTAATAACCATAACTGCAGTAAATTATGCGGAATACTATAATGTTACCAAATGTTGGTTGTATCATTGAAGGACATTGTAGTTGTGCAAATACCTAACCCTAAATTCAAACCTCAGCGTGTTGGTTCAGCTGATTGGCAGCTGATAAGGGTCACTAGAGTACACAGTACAGGATACACTGCCAGAACTACAGGTTATGGTGTCCTACAGCCAACTGTCGGCTTGGTGTGTCGGCCCCTAAAACAAATAGCTTTAATTGTTTTTTTGCAAAGATTGCCACAATGGCCGACCGCAGTAGTGTTGCGACAGAAAGATTTGGTTTCTCGTGAAGTATAACTGCTGCATGTGAACGAATTGCATAAAAACAGAAATATTAGTGGAAGAGAAAGCAACCAGTGTTAACATGTTAATTGGAGCTGTTTGCAAATTATGTTTTGCAAACAGCTCCAATTAACTGAACTTTTATTATATTAAAGTTGTTTATTTAAAAATGGGAACTGTTAAATGTCAAGTTTCCTCCAGTGACCGTAGACGGCTTGAATTCAGTTGCAATGTTAGTTGCTGTGTTCTTCGGTGATAACATTCACAGTGAGGGGGAAAAAGCATCAAAATGTCCAAAGAAACTCCTCAAACCACTCCAGCGACGTCCACCTTTCCTCACAAAGCTGACTCACATTGTATCCAGAATACACTGCTTCCATTTGTCACTTGATAGTAGTGTAGTGATTAAGCAACTTATTAGAAAACGTATTATTATTCTTTAACATTAATTCAAACTGACTACAACTGCTGTTCTTTGTGAAGGAGCAGCCATGGGCTTCAAGCATCAGCATGAAGGCTACACAGAAAAGTTTGTGTGATACAATTTAGTATAACTTCAAGTGAACAATTACATTTATTTATATTTGCTAAATTAAATCGAATAGACAACGATTGAATTAACAAATGAAAGAAAAAGACAACAGCATGACGTTGATCAGAGGTCAGCCTTCGGCCTTCAGTGTGGGTCAAATTACCTTAATGGAGACTGCCACATTACATAAAGAAGATATTACATTTAGAGATTAAAGTGTGTTGTCAGTGGAAATATGTCTGGGGTTTATTATGCTGAATATTGAGTTAATGGTTATTTTGTGTAGAGATGATTTTCCTCAAATGTTTGAACGTTCATCTTTCATTCACAGTCATGCTACAGCCCTTTGACTATGACCCCAACGAGAAAAGTAAACACAAATTCATGGTGCAGACGATTTTTGCCCCGCCAAATGTTTCTGACATGGATTCATTGGTGAGTAATATTTTACTTAAGTACTTTTATTAAAGATGTATATGCAGAACACTTAGTAGTTGAGCCCTTTTAATCAACATCAGAAGTGAGGATGCTTTTAAAGTTGGAGCTCTGCAAATGTTTACACAAACTCACACTCTTTGTTGTGTGAGAAACCAGTTTCCTTCCTTTCATCTGTCTGGTTTTCCACAGTATTTGCAGTATTACTTAACTGAAAAAATAAACAACCCAAACCAGTCGCAATTTCAACAGTTGTCCAAAAATAAAAGGATAATTGATTTTGAATTTGAAAGAGTTTTGTTGGATTGTTTAAGAGCATATAAGTCAACTGATTTCCACCCAGAAGTCATTATGTAACTGAAAGATGTTTGTTTCCTGCCGCAAGAAGTCAGTTTACAATAAACTAGGTCCTCTAAAAGCTAGCACTGCTCAGACTAATAATAAAAACAATAGACAATAAATGATTTAACTACTTTTTTTTTTCACTGAAAATGCTATTTTTAAATTCCAAATGATTTGTGTGTGGGTTTCTTTCTTTCTTTAATTTAAGTATTTAGATAAATACAGATTACTCTGGGGTTTCTGTTTTTTTAATTAAAGATCTGTTTGCACATTATAACTCACCAGAATCAAATTAACTCTTCTTATTTTTAAATATTCTACAGCACTCACTGAAAACCTGCCATCAATTATTTGTGATCAGTAGTCCACCACTAATTATACACATTTCTATCAGTTTACTGATTTGGTCATCCATTGTGGTGGGTTTATTGACATGTAGCTTTACTTGCTATGCCAAGCTCTCTGCTCTTAGACTATTACACTATTATGTCAAAAAAAAAAAATCCACAACAAACAACAGATGCATTCTCCATTTGTCCACCAGAGGACAGCAAAGGCTTAGTCAGTCAGTAAACCATCCACATAACCAGTAGTTGTGTTCATGAACTGGCTTGTCTTGAATGACTAGCAAAATCCAGGAAGTGCAGTGGAGCAAATGTCTGACTGCGTCTGATAAGTCAACTGGAATCTAATGAGGTTAAAGTTTTATCAGATATATTGCTTTCATGGCATTACTCAACCCCATTGCAATGCTGCGTTATACATTTCACTAACACACAGATTGTTGCTTTCACTCAACCATAAAGGAGTTCTGTGCCTTACTTGAATTACATGCACCTTTTGTCGTTGAGCGTATAAAATCCCGACATGTCTCCGAGGTAAGGAGCAGACTTTATGGACGTTTGTCGTTCTAAAAATACAGACCCAAAAACCCAGTGGAAGAATGTACACTTGTGACAGTTTGTGGTTTTATTTTGTAGGAAAATGAGACGAGTTATTACCAAGCTGTGCATGTTTTATGTTTATCTATAGATTCAAGGCTGCAGTGCATGTGAACAGTATGAAGTGTGTGGATAGATTCCAGCTGCTAGCAGTTTGAGTTGATGAATAACATGCCCATTTTTCATCTCTACCAGTGGAAAGATGCAAAACCCGATGATCTCATGGATTCCAAGCTGAGATGTGTCTTCGAGCTGCCTTCTGAAAACGATAAAGTGGTAAGAGGCACTGCTGTACATTAATAACAGCTTATTTCCACATAATTTAAGTCATAACCTGAAGTATTGTTTTTGTTGCTAAAGGACTCATGCTGAATGTTCAACTCTGAAAATTACCAGGATACCATAGCTTTCCATTAAAGCAAAAACCTTTGGACAAAATCCATTGCTTTAATATCAAATAAGTAGAGAGTGTTGTTCCAGTGGAAATACTGGCCATGGCACACTGTACCAGGTGCAAAAATATCAACAAACCATAACTTCCTAAGCTTTTCTTCTCTTTTCTAATGTGTGTTTCTCTTACTCACTCTCCACACTCAATTATTCCTTCCCAAGGTCACCTAAAATACTTAATGCTGAAAAATTTTATTTTGCCGGGCAGATCTGGAGGATTGCTATCATGAAACTCCTTGCTGTTAGGTGAACTAATCATCAGGTTTGTCAGAGGTTGCACAACCTTTTTGAGATTGAGGGCTCCCGAAAATTGTCCGGAGGGCCACTCTGTATACTTGACGAACGTCCACGTTAAATTTTTGCTTTCAATAAAGTAACATAGCGGTGTATATTTTCACCTTTAGTCATTTCCATGTATACGGTTGGACCAATCCAATTGCGGTTATGGAAGTAATTTTTCTCTGGTTATGGTATTATGTTATGTGAAATCTACTGCTATGAACTGAGTCAGTTTATTCAGATCACCTAATCAATAAAAACTTAAAAGACGTGTCGAATGCAGAAAGGCAGAATAGGGAATCATAATTTCTAACCGCTATACTCCAAAGTTTGACACTGACCTGCTCCAACCTTGCTGTCAAAAAAAGTGCTGGCACAAAAGCTAAAATAAAAGACACAATGACCACAAGGAACAAATCCAGCGCCACACAGAGAAAGATACCCCAATGTGTTTTATGGTTACGCCACACATAGCTGCTTCAGTGAAATTCTTTTTAAATTTACAAGAAATGTTGACATTGTGGAGTGTAATCAAAATTCACATTGAATAGTATGCAGATGTTCTGTTGTGGGGATGCATGAATACTTTGCATGCGTCTGATTGCTGAGGAGCACATGAACCGCAGCCGGCGGTGCCTTTTTGCACTGCATTTTGCATTTTAGCGGCTAACGTCACCTTTGCCGCCTACGTCAAGCCCAAGTGCGTCGCTGTGAATAGCAAGTGCAGCTGCTATGAAACCATTTCAAGGTGAGAGAAGAGCTTCAACAGATGAATAGTTTGAATGATGTGGGTGTTTACTTAGTTTGCTCCAACCACTGGTTCACAGTCAAGTATCAAACATGGCAGTGTGCACACAGTAGCTTGAGACCTAACATGGCTCTCAATATGGCTCCTGTAGTGGTGGTGTATAGACTGAATTACATTGAACATGTTTCTAATGTTTTTTTCAAACCCTGTAGTCATACATGAGACATGCCAACTTCACTAACTCGGCATTAAAAAACTTCTACACAGTTGAATCAACACCTCATGCTGTACAGAGATGTTTGTGTAGTGGATTGCATTAGTGTATACTCAGTAAACCGGTGACTGTGAACACTGGTAGGCTGTATTAATGCCCTCAGTGTAATCAGGATTTAGATAAGCAGTGCTGCTCAGCAGTCTCTCACAGTTCAGGTGAAAATGCCTCCAAGGCCAGATTTAGCTTACGCTAAGAAGCTACAGTGAGGATATGCGCACTGCTGAGTCAGCACGGTATCTGCTCTCTGCTCTGGCACGTGTAGCATGCATGTAATGTGTAACATGTAGACTATGTAACTTTGTAGGATGGAGATGTATTGTAAAGTGTAATGTTAGAATGCGGAAATGTACGTTTAGGATCAGCCTTTTTGTAGTGTGCAAGAAGAGCTACACGGAAGTATTTTTGTGCATTGGGTCTAAAACTGATTGTAAAGACACACAAAAAATCCCCATACTGTAAAGCACTTCTTCCTCCACATGATGAAGGTCTGAGGACCAAAACATTGTCAATAAAGTGAGAACAAGTGCTTGACAGTGTGCAGGTTGTGTGTTTTTGGCTCTTTCACAAGTACTGAAGCATCTAGTAGGAAGAGGTTCACCTCCTCTTGGATCAGATAGTTTTAGTGAATATTTGACACTTTTAGACTTGTTTTTAATTTATTCAATTTTGTTTCCTTTTTATAAATGCTTGCTTTGCATTCTGGCACAAGGGATAATAACATCACATCCTGTCTGTGTATTGATTATCAACCTTCAACTACAATACAATAGTTGTATTTCCATTACAAAGCCTTTCATTTCTCCAATGCCGTCATGTTGTCTGTCCCACAAAACAAAGCCACATCAAACATGACTTCTGGACAAACGCATTTCCTCCCTGGTCTCTTTGATCTGGCACTGTGAGCTTCTGGGCCTCGGACAAGGCTGCCTTTCTTTGGCACAGGCTGTAGTCTAGAGGCTAACCTCCCTACTTAGCTCAGGGCATGTTGGATTTCACTTCAGCGGTTCTCTCCCTCTGTTTGTCGGGCAGAATGACGTGGATGCGACCAAAGCAGCCCCGGTGATGAACTCTGTGAAGGGCGAGTCATCGGCAGCCTCGATGCCTGTCTCTGCCTCACTGGACGATACAGAGCTGAAGAAAGTGCTGGAGAAGTGCAAGAGGCAGCAAGCTGAGATGAACAAGCTGGCTGAGGAGAACCGGCAATTAAAGGTTAGATGTGTCGATAAATAATATTCGTAACATGATGAAACCCTCGCAATGCTCAGACAGCTGATGTCGTACTGCTCTTTAGGGGTTTAGCCCGTAGTGTTACGTCTATAAAAGGTTGAGCTCGGTGACCTTTCAACATGTTGGCCAGATTTTTCCTTTAGCATTTATACCTCCCCATGAGATCTGATCATAATGCAAGGTGGACCACCTCCACTTGGTGGGTTTTGTGTTTATATCGGGCATTAAGATGCATATTTACAGATATAGATACTGTACTATTACTGTGTGTACATTGTCTCTTTATGTGCCCTCACTGACTTTGAATAGATGGTAGAAAAATCTGTTTTGTAGTGTTTTCTTAAACAATGAGTCCTGACCTAAAGTGGGTTAAGGACCCTTAAAGGGTGCATCACAGCATGATTTCCTGATATCACCCTGTGTCTATCAAGATCCCTCTACAACCTCTTCTAATCTCTAGCTCTTCCAAGGCGTCGCCAATCGATGAATATTGGGAATGAGAACGGGTTGCCGACCACCTCAGATTCAGGCTGCCCACAAACGTCATCTTCACGGTCAATAAATACTAGTGTGAATGTTTCCCGTGTAGTTGGTTAGTTAGCTAACTCAGCCACTAAAAGTCAGTGTTAGCCTTTCATTAACCCTCTGATCTCTGACGGAGGTACGGGTAGATGCATTGATCTAGCTTGACTGAACCATGCTTATACAATGTGTGGCCTCTCTCTTGTTGGTGAAGAGGCAGCTGAGCGAGTGGACTCACATGACAGTTGCCAAAAGAATACAACAAATGTCAAAAGACAGTTGTAGGAAAAATGTTGAAATGCAAAAAATGTGCTCTGAGGAATTTCATCATCTGTTTTCATCTAATTGTTTGTCGTCTGTGCCAGATACATATGAGATGATGACATCAATGAGGAATTTTATTTTCTGTGATCAGCTGCAAGCAACAACAAAGGAAGAGTGTTAGACACTGATTTGAAAAATTTAAAAGTTTATTGGATCAATTGTGTTGGATTCTGTACAGATGGGGCAAATCTAATATACCTTTAAGTGTTGTGCAATGTGAATATTGCCCACTATACTTCACAGAGAGGCTTTGTCTTCAGAGAAACTTGGTTGAGGTAATTTACTTAATTGTTAAGTGGTGGATCTGATCAAGAAGAGACCTGTGTTGTTCTGATCTGTTCAGTTTTCTGTGACATTACATAATTTTCACCCCCCCCCCCCTTTCTGTCACAGGATGAAGGTCTTAGAATGAGAAAGGTACCCCGCTCAGACCACATGACATCAAACTCAACTAGCCTCCTCGGCCGAGAAGCCAGCACCGCCTCCCTGCCCTCCCTCCTCGTCGTCATAGCAGCCATCTTCATCGGATTCTTCCTAGGGAAGTTCATCTTGTAGACTGGGAGATGCATGCCAGCCGTATCCCCCCGCCCCGGCTCCGGAATGAAAACAGGCCTGGAAAAACCGAGAAGTCTTTCTGTTGACTTTGCCATATCATTGGTAGTGTGGCCTATACAGTGAACACATCTGTACAGCATCATTCGAAGGCGTCGCCTTTTTACAATCTCACACGGTTAGTACACAAAGAAAGTTGAGAAAAGAAAGGCGACAAAAAAAAAGTGATTGCTTCCTTTTCTTTTTTTCTTTTGTTTTTTTTTTTTTGTTTTCTGTTTTTTGATGGCTGGATTATACAGGTAATGTGCCGGGACAATGAAAGTTGTATACTATCAGTCAACATGAAAGATGCACCTAGAGTGAACCAAGGGCAAGAGGCAGTCAAAAGATTTAGATGATATTCTCTCTCTCTCTCTCTCTCTCTCTCTCTCTCTCTCTCTCTCTCTCTCTCTCTCTCTCTCTCTCTCTCTCTCTCTCTCTCTCTCTCTCTCTCTCTCTCTCTCTCTCTCTCTCTCTCTCTCTCGTTTTTAATAGGAATTGAATGGAATGTTAGGTGTCTTGTAAATGTTGTTTTAAATCCTTTTAAACAAAAAAGGAACGAACTTCCATCAAAAAGACCTTGCTACCTGTTGCTGGATTGCCTCTGAAGTAAATTTGTTCAGTTTGTAATTTCTACTTCTTGTCTTGGAATGTTCAGGTCCAGCTGGGGATATAGGTGCCTCCTTCTTGTACATTTCTGTCCTTTTCCTCACAACACCAATGCAGACTTTATATTATTATTATTATTATTAATATTATTATTATTAATAAATATTATTATTATACAAATCGTATATTCCTTCTGAGGCAAATATTGACTGAAATAAGGTCTCCATTCTTAAAATCCTGTCCCATGGTATTACGCATTGAAAAAATAAAAATGAAAAAATGTGGTTTTGATAGCCGTCTTTTCCTGTGTCTCCCCCACTTCAATGATACACCCTCAAAAATTCAATATTTCACCGCGTCGTGCGTGCCAAGTTTTTTCCGTCAGTATCGCAGCCAACATTTTGTGTTGTATTTTTCTTAGTACGAGGATAAAGTACAGATTGTGGGCTAACCATGTGTTTTAATTACAGTTCACATTTCAGCTGATATTATTTGACTTTCAGTTATTAGTTTCCAAAAGTCACTGCTCTGTTATGAGCTCGAAATGAAGAATATTCTAGTTAGTTTACACACTTTATTTACTGACTGAATTAATCAAGGTGGGAGTTTGGATCTCTTTTGGATTCTAGTGCTTTTTATATTGAGATTCTTATACATTTAAATGGTTTCATCTTGTTGTCACTCACACACTCTTGAAGTTGTGCTGCCAAGGTAATGTGGTACATTATGCCATTCTGGATGGCAAAATCTGCAGTGGTCATTTGGCCCCAATCTTCACTCATTTCATCATAATGGCTAAAATACAGAACAGTCTTTACAAGATGCTTATTTTCCCCCAAAGTGAAACCTACAATCATTTTATTACAGTGTAAAGTAATATGATTCATACTGACTCCTGCAGGACAGGGTAGCGTGGGAAAAGTCCACTGTTTTCTCCTTGGCAGTAGAGAGAGGGAGAATAACATGTTACAAGCTTTTCTGTGACTATATGACAGAGTGCCACAGTGTAAGATGTTGTGATTGTAAATGTGAGGCAACAGAGGACTGGAGTCCATCTGGGAAAAAATAATTACTGTTATTGATGCAGTATGCAGCATTTGCATATACAGTATGTCAGCTAATAGGTACAGTGATTAGAAACAACTAAATTTAAATTCTTTATCAAAATGTTTGTTTATTAAGCTAGAAAACGAATATGTTGGACAATAAATTCTTAATGTATTTTACACTTTAAATTTCAGCCTTCAAATTAGATGTGTTGGTGTGGAGCACTGCGGGGAAAAAATCCCTCTCCTGCTTTTAGAGGGGTAGGTTCTTATTTATAGGCCTGTTTTTTGAGGTTTCCTGGGAATAGCTGGTCAGGCTTGTGGCATGCCTAAAATCCATACTATACTAACTGTTTTTAAGGTAAGTGCACAAAAAAAAGAACAATTTTACACAATGTCTGGATGTCACTCAAACTTGCGGCTTTGAAATGTTACTGCCAATTAAAGTTCACAAAGCGAATGCAAAATTAAGATTTAAGTGGGCGAAAACTCAGAAAGCAGCCAAATTTCAATATGATATTTAATATTTTATTCAAAACATTTAATTTTGTATTTATTATAGTCATTTTTGCTTGGTTTTGTATTGATTGATTTTCTTTTTGGGGTGTATTTTCACATACACGTCGGGTTAACTTTCTTCTCCTGCACAGCTGGTTTCATTTTATGTTCTCTGTGCTCCATAATGCAAGAGATGGATTTAAATTTCTCTACCAAGAGTAGTCTCAGTCTCACAGTGGAAAACATCCAAAACCTTACAGGATGCTGTGGTGCAGATATACTCTTCATTTTGAATATTACTTTTATTTATTTTAAAGTACAAAAGTATTAGAATCTAAATATACTTAAAGTACCAACAGTACTCTTTATGCAAAGAAGGGTTAATTTCAGAATAAAATGTATTATGTAATTGGATTATGATTATTGATGCATTTATGTACATCACTTTCATGATGAAGGTTGAGCCTATGCTGCTGGTTAGCTTAATCTATAATAATGCATCCTTTTTTTTTTTTGGTATTAATCTGAATCTCCAACGGAACTTGTAAATACAGCTGTCAAAAACATGTAGAGGAGTAAAAAGTACAATATTTCCCTCAGAGATTAAGCTGAGTATTAAATGGAATACAATAACTCTTAAAGTGCAAATACCTCAAAAAACCCAAAAGTACAGTGCTTGCATTAATGTACTTAGTTACTTTCCACCACTGGCGGGATGTTGGAGGAAATATATGAAATCACTAAACGTAATCGAAGTAGATGTGGCTTCTTGAGAAAGTGCGTACACCAATAAAGTAAATTATTCCTCCTCAAAACTTGTGAATTGCACTGAATCTTGTAAAGAGTTTAATATCGAAATCTGCTGGACTGATCATGTAACTTATCCATGTGGGCCAAAAATGTACATAACGGGTCAACACTGAAGAGTATCAAGCCTTTAATCTTATACATGTATCCAGTTACAAAGACATTTCTTGGAGCCTAACGCAGGTTCTTTTGTCCGGGAACACGATTCTGCACCATCATTGATAAACTGGCTGCAAGAAATTAGTCACTTTGTTTATTCCGTTGCAGAAATATGCAGAATATGCAGAATATGCTGTGATAGTTTGTCCTTTTCTCTCGGTCGAACAGTCTGAAAGTTCTGGTATGGTAGAAGCATGCTAGTAAATTCCCAAACAGGTACTGGTCCACGATCCAGAAGGTGATGGCAGTGACGTCATGGATTGTATTCGAGAGGGGAACTGAAGGTTTGTCATATTGTACCACACCTGATGACATTCATCCCATTCAAGGTATTTTGAGTATTTCCACTCAAGTTTAGAAAAAAAAACCTCAAGGAGCAAAGAGCACTAATCTATTTTTTATGTCATTTTGCAGGTTCGTCACTGGAAGACTTTAACAGGGAGCTACACAATCTGGAGAGGTAATATAAACTACAGTGCATTGTAACAGTTTATATTTATTAAGTGTGAACATTTACCCCAAAAAAAACTTAAATCCCTAATGAGACATCTGTCTTCTAGATCTGTTGTTACTGCGAATTTTAAAAGGAACCAACTACTAAAATACTGGTTTTTTTGGTATGGGTTTGACCGATAATACTGTTCCAAATACCAACATCTAACACAGAATTAGAGCATATTCATGTCTACGGGGAGGAAAAAGTAATAAAAAAGGCTGTTTGTAATGCAGTAACTCTTGTAAAACCGAAACAGATGACAACTTATGATTTACGATTTACTGGTCGCACTTTGATATGTCTGCAGGTGCAATCGTCCCTTCATTTCATGTCAAGTACAAATTGCAGGCCTGCAGTATTTAAATTCTTGCACTGACTGATAGTTCACTGTGAAAATGAATGATAGTATCTTAATTTTAATTAGAGTTGAGCTACAACTAGCCATCAAACAGGATTTTGCATGTATTCCATTAGACACGCACCGATAGATACCGAGCTCGTGCACTCCAGTAACGCCCCCAATGCTTTTTTACGACAGTGTGGCGTTACCTAACCTCTCGTTGTTGAGCGGGAAGGCGGAGGCGAAGCAGTGTCAGCAGTTTGGAGATATTTGAAGCAACTTTGACAGAGTCATTGTTAGAGCTGTAACGGTATTAAGTACTTGTAATTGGCAAATAGACAAATGTAAATATTTGGTTATTAAAAACGTGTTGTACATCCCTATATTCAATTAACTGAGAAAAAAGACAGTTAACACCCACAAAAGTTACATATTTTGATAAATCTTAAAACCAATTTAACAGTTACAACAATGAATTGCATGTAACATTTATATAGTTTTTGGGTAAAATACGTATTGGAATCACGTTGAGACGATATAATCATATTGTTATGATGTTATTCTGCTACTTATTTAGTGATTCCAAGCAAATTGTGATTTAAAATTCAAGAGTGACAGAGAAAGGCAGTGGAACAGAGTTCACTGGATTCATCTGAGAATTTCTATTTTGATATTTATCAGGAACTAATCTCATAGATATAATTTCTTTTTTTAATTTAGCCTCATTGCCCGGTCTTAATACAGGTTTCAGTGTATCTGAAGTCTTCAAATGGTGAAAAGCTGCTAGTTTATAAGCCCAATCCAACAAGACATCATTTAAAAAAAATATCCCCAATGGAAACCAGGTCAAGTGTTAGCCGGTGAAGATGCAGCTATCTGACCAGTGAGGGAATAAAAATGTCTCTCTTAGAGTGCACAGAAGATGAGTTTTATTGTATCCAAGATACCAGTATGATCTTAACGTGGAAAAGATGTAAGTTCACCGTACTGTTAGGCAATATTTAAAGAAAACGCTTTAATATAAGAAGTGTAGTTCCCTTTTACTGTAAACACTGACCATCCACAAGCACCTCTCCTCCAGACAGGGAGCTTCTTGTCAAGAGTTCATTGTAGAAAGTTTCCACTCATCAAGTCATGTCTTTTTGCAGTACCAAGAAATGACTTGATAGTTGTAGGTAAATACACTGTATAAAACATACTCTCAGGTCGGTGTGGATATATAGACATCTTTGTACTATATTTGTGGAAAAAAAACAGACGGGTTGGTCTTTGGTTCCACTCTAAAGTGCAGTTTCTGTGGTGCATCAGTGTCGAGTCTTTGGTAGCTGGAAAAAGGTTCAGAGGATCAGAGGCACCAGTTTTCATCCTCTTTCACATCAGACAACTAAAAAGTTTAGATTTGCTGTTTTTAAACAAGCAGTCTTGTAATCCAAACTCCTCTCTTGTTGCGTCTTACGTAGGAAAAAAGCCCAAACTGCTCTCTAGCTTTGCCAACAGAGAAGCAGAGACGTGACGAATGCGACGAGCGCCACAGTGACGTGTTTCTGGCTGCCCCTGTGCCATCCCGTGCAGTCATTGTGGTGCAGCTGAGGCCTGTTGCCTCCGTCCACTCTGTTGTGGTAGGACGGCTGGCTGCTTGCTGAGCACTGCACCAGGGGCATCTGGTAAGAGGTGGCCCGCTTCTCCGGCCGGTCCGGGCTGGAGCCGTCACTGGGGCGCTGGCCGTTGTAGAGCAGGTAGCGGCCGTGGGCGTCCTGCTCCATGCGGAAAAGCTCGTACTCTGTGTGGGGGAGCCGGATGCCCAGTGCCACGCAGCCGTTGGTTATGGTGACGTCCTGCTCCACCCCGACCTGCCAGGACCCCTGCACGCCGCACTCGTTACCGTTGAAGACGTTGAGGAGGGAGGTGGTGGCCAAGTCCATGGGAGTTACTCTCATGTGGTTCACTAAAAAGGAAGAAAGGCACAAAAAGACCTGTTAGCTCTAACCGCTTCTTACAGAGTTACCAATAGAAATCCTGAACATCCTGTGTTTATGTGCAGAGTAGTGATTGTAGTGCTCAGGGTGTTGTAAACTCTCAACTGGATGAGTCACTGAAACAATGTTTTTCTGCTCGCTGTTTCCAATTTGGGCCTTATTTTTGTCATTTTGGCCATCGTTACTGTTATAACTCACCGAGATAATTGCAAGGATCTGGGAAAATGATGACATTGAGGCATGAAACACAAGCAGTCAGGCAATCAGTTAACAAGTAAACAAGCCAATAGGTTTTAGCCAGATTAGGAAAGTTCGAGATGAACTGCGCCTAAAGTGGGCGAGGTGAGGCGGCAGCAACAAAAAGCTGCAGTCAAGTCGGATAACAAATCTACAGGAAGTCACAGAAATGTTTCCATCCTGTTACATCATTTGTAGGTGGCCTGTTGTTTTTAGATCACATTCCGATATATAAATATTATCAACCACACAAGATGTTTGTTCGTACAATCTAGAGTCAAATACTGAAATCACACACAAAATTTGAAAAATGTGGTATTTGTGGTCAAAACTAAGAGCCGATCTTTTGATCAGGCGACAGGCAGGCGTTTCCCATCATGCCCTGGGTCTTGCAATCAGTGGAAAGCAACTGCAGCGGCTTGATCTAAAAACTGCGGCGGCCGATTGTCAGAGCAAGTCGGCATCAAGTCGGACACAAATCTAACTGGCGTGCATTGTGTGCCGATCGCCAGTGATTGATTCTGCGCAGGCCTCGAGTACATCTCGAGTGAAATGATCCACTGTGAGTGAGTACAATAGGTCAAAAGTTGAAACAAGATGTCTGTAAACTATGATGGAAGTTTACAACAAACAGCTGGGGTAATAATTTACCACACACACTATAATTTACTCTTCCAAACGTGATAATCTGACATCTCGTCTTTCTTGCCCTGTCAGACATCTTGAGTAATTTCAGTAATTAACTGGATGAGTACAATGTCAGAACAGATTGAAGCAATGACCAAAAATAGAAGGACCAGCTAGCATGGCTGTTCGAAGGTTACAAATCCACCAACCAACACCTCTTATATCGTATCATACGTTGGATCGTATTTGTTTAATCTGAATAAAAGCGTGTAAAAACGTCCTGTTATGTGTAGGATTGTTTCTTGACCAGGTACAGTAACTCCGCAGTCTCCGCTGGTTGCCTGGTATTTCTAATGATGCACAAACTCCGACATGTCACTTCACATAACGCCCTGTCCCCTAAATTCTTGTTTTTACACTTTGGCTTTCGTACATATTAAACAAACCAGGTATAATGTGTTAATTAACGGGTTTCAGAGGTGCTTATAGGCAGATTTTACCTGCTGGCTCCAGCTAAATGTTTCCCAAAATGTTGAACCATTCCTTTTTAACTTGAACTGTTACAAAGAGTCAATTAGAAATGGTTACATCTACCATAAAAATAGAGACAGTAAAGGAAGCAATGTGTCCTGTACCTGTCCTGTAATGGTGGTCATGATCGCCATAAGAATTGTAAGTATGTAAATTTGTAATGTCAAAAATCTATATAATGGTTTCTCTATTTTTCTAGTTTTCCCATCACTTGAATTGTAGTGTCCTCTGAGAATTGTTGGTATTTTGTAGCTGTAAGACATGAAATTATCAACGGGTTACCTTTGAAGACGAACTCCGTCCCGCCCAAGACGCGGGTGGAGTGAAGGCCTCGGCTGTAGCGTCCGCGGGCGTAGATGGTGAAGGTGGGGTGTTTACAGACGGGGTCAGAGTAGTGGTAGTAGTGGCCCTCCCAGGTGTGGTTGTTGTCATGGAAGATGAAGTGACGGGTGAGGAAGAGGACCTCAGGGCGAACCTCGCAGCGCTGGCTCACCCACTGACCGTACAGCCCGACTGTCAGATCGGCCCGCGGTGGCAGGATGGGAGGGTGGAACTCATCGGAGCGGTAGATGATACGACAGGCGATGCAGCCGTGGTCATGGTTCTGAAAAAATAAAAAGGGGAAGAAATTTAAAGTTACTTTTGAAAAGGTAATAAATTGCTAATGTACTTAAAACTAAAATATACAATTACTGTCTGATTTATTTTCAACACTGCTGCAACTAGAAATTACAAAAAAAACAAAATTACATTTACAAGGTTTCTTTGTATTTAGTTCAATGTCACTAGCAAGTGAGAAGCAAACAGGACATTAAACTGTGTGTAGGATTTGAAATATTCCAACTTTAGCACCCACTAATGGCAGACAGCAACAAAGGCACCTCTACATGTGACATGGAAACAATGAGATGAATGAAAGTAACAGACTGCACTGATTTTCACCAAATCATCAAATAAAATATTGATATTTGAATATTGTTGTCAAACAGATTTGACACTGTTTTATCAGCATGATTAACCATTTGGTGGGTGATTTTTGTCAATGCAAACCACAAAGTTAGTTACTAATGCTGGATTTTTCAGGCATATTCGGATGTTCATATTTGACATTTTAAAACAATCAGAAAATACATTTGCAGATATTTTTACACATCAACACGTATATTAAAACCCTCATTAATTTGCACAAAACAAGATAAATGAACAAAAGTAAAACTATTTTACTGTTAAAAATAAACTTGGCAGTGGTTTCTGTACTGCAGTCTCTTACATTGGCCAACTAAACACTTATAAATGTATCATTAATATATCTGCAGTAAGCTAATATCAGCCATATAATATTGGTTCGGCTCCAACGGTGTGATCCATTCAAACTGGGAAGTCAGAATTCCCGAGTTCCTGGTCGGAAATTTCAATTGCAATGCTCCTTGGAGTCAGATTTCCAACTAGAAAAGTCGGAAGAAGCTCACCAACCCCGACCTCAAAATCCAAGATGGCTGCTCTGTACGTCCTCTAATTGAAAGTTGTGGTAATATTCTGTTCGTTAGCTCTTTTGTTTCTCATTAACATCAGTCGTACAGAGCTATCCAACGTCTGTCTGCGGACACGTTTGTATGGCTAACCTGGTTAGAGCTCGGTTTTCCAACTTGAATGCGTACAACTCCAGTGTGATGTCATTCCCAGCTCTGACACTTACAGGTGAGATAAAAAAAAAAAACAACACTAATTTAGAAAGGATGATAGAAAATCAGCTGTTGAGCTGAAGTTGCCGCCAGACATTACTGTGTGAAAAACCCAGTCATATGAACTGCGTTGGTGCTTAAAGCTTCTTATAAGCTCCATCATCAGTATATTGTATCACGAAATCCACACAAAGGGACGTCTGGCGTCTGTTCAGAGGTGAATGAGGAAAAACTATTTCCTTCAGTCTGAACCTCTTGAGTGTTGGAAGGCAGACAAGGTTCCAGCATTTTCTCAGGGTGATCACATCATTTTACCGTAAAAAGACAGATGTCTGGTCGAACTAAAGCCGTGACAACAGGAAGTCACACAGCGAACAGCGAGCTGAACTTTCATGCTACTTACAAACAACAGCGGGATGTCTTTTATTCGCCTTCATATTGACCAAAAAAAAAAAAAAAGGGTTTGTAAGTCTATAAATGAACATTAATCATATTCAAGGGATATCATGTCTGCTTGAGTGGAGCCCCTGAGCAGCATGTGGTCATAGTATCCACAGACAGGACAGCTGTGGGTCTCTGGCTGCAGGAAAGACTTGAGGGCCTGACGGACTCGGAGCTGGAAGCCTTCATACTGTATTCCACAAATTCTCTTCCAAAGACCAAACTCCAGGGAGGCAGTGGAGTTTTTGTTATTCGAGGGTGGTCAAAATTTAAGACCTAACCTCCCCGACCCAATCACTCTTTTCCCAGACAACACTACGTCCGCATGGGATTTACGGGGAGTTTAAAACAGAAGAAATGAAGAATGCTGAAAGACGGAGGAAAAACAGGAATATCACTACGTCCTACAGATGAGATAGTCCCAGCGCAGCTCCATAAGCACCTCTGAGTGAGAGGTTAATGGGACGAAAGCGGAAGCGAGGCCTCTTGAGCATAGTGGGTTTTTTTTCTTTTTTTACGGGTGTGTATCTCAGCACTTGTGCACCTGTGTTTGTGCGTATGAGTAAGAAATATCCCGTACATGCAGCAGGGAAAAAGACATAAATACAGTACACAGAGAGAAAAATATGTACGCATATTTTAGCATATACAGTATTTATGTAAGAATGCAAGGAAAAAAGGAGCAGATGGTGGGGGGGCTTCCTGTTGCAGGTGTGGAAAACATGTTCCAGATCTGCAGGATCTTTGAGGCCATAAAACAAAGTCAGCCTGTCTGAGCCGACTATGAACATGTCTTCACTGCACGCCACTTTCTTATCTTATACATGTTCAATTCTAGTGTCTTTAATCAGAATATTGACTGTAATTAAAAACATTAAAGATTAAACATAATTGTCTGCAAGCTGCCCCAACAAGCTCCAGCAATAAGGTAAAGCAGTTTTTATACAACCTGAGAGGCAAAACTCAGGGCAACAGCAGTCTGACGGTGGATCAGATGCTTCTCTCTGGTGGATGGACAGTAAGAAAGCAACGTTAAGATCGATTTTAGTGAGAAAATCAACCTGACAAGTGAGCGCAGCATATAAAAATGTTAATCTGCGAGTCTGTAATCGAGCAGTAATCACAACTGAGTGTTAAAGCCAAGTCAGATGTGCCTTAGGCGAGCTTTACACAACACAATTCTTACAAGCATTTGCAGGTTGCAAATAAAAGTTTTACTGGTGCTGTGACACCACACTTATCTCCAACATTCAAATTAATGAACTAATTTATGGCTTTGACTGGATGGTTCTTTAACAGAACATTTTCTACCCGAGTCCAAACATGTAAAACCAAAGACTACTGACTTCTGTTGAACTGATAAATATAAATTTAACACATTTTCAGCTCCAGCTCGGTGTCCAAATTTGGGTTTTTTGGGCTCTAACAGCGGCCAAGATGGCTCTAAGTGTTAAACTGAGCTCCAAGGGTGAGCACATCGTCTTTCAGTGAGCCACCTGGTGATCACATCTGATGTAAAAGCAGTGAGCCCCTCCAGTTATCAGTAAGTAATCAAGGGAAAAGGGCTACAATTAATGAATAACTGATAGGCGTTTTTCATAATTTTGCAGAAACAATAAATCAGTTTCAAAGCTAACAAGGCCGCGTTCAGACCAACTTCAGCACCGAGTGAAAAACTAAACAAAACAGTCCTTTCATTCATTTAAATGCAGTCAGTCCATTGACCATTGTTCCTCAAACTGGACTCACTGGATCGTATCTCATTGTGTCACCAGTACCATCAAATACATGCCTCCACCAGCACAACCCTCTGTTGTTTCTGGTCTGAACTCCCGCTAAGACAAAGAAAAACCGGAAATCTGCAAATCCAAGAAGCTGGAACAAGATGATGTTGGGCATTTCTGCTATTAACTGAATTTGAAACTCACTTCCAATGCAAGAAAGTGAAGCTATGACAAACTATTCTCAGTTGGAGGTGGAGGAAGCATGGCTCAAAACTTTAAACTTTACATTAGTCTTTGTGATAGCTCACAATGTCCAGCCTGTAGTAAGTGTAAGTGTTGTGTCGCAGTAGGCTTGAAGCAAAGCGTTTCATACCCTTACTGGGACTGAAGGAAAACGAGGAAATGAGGAAGGATATTACTGCTCTTGTTTAATATAAATTACATTTATTAATTTCACTTTTTACTACCACATTTGGCAGCTGCTTTAGTCTGAACCGACATACAGTTGAAGTACCATCCAAACCACAACAGATCAAGGAGAATTAGAACTGAATTTCACTTTGTTTGGCAGAAATCCTTCATTTGGGCATTTTGTGGATTACTGCCATAGTTCAAGGGAAGATGATGTCCAGAAGCATACATTTTACGAGGAACAGAAATTACGTCAGGCTTTAAAATGCTTCTTTAGAAACCTGTTGGTGATATCAAGGCACTAAACCCATGTTTTTTTTTCCTATGCTGGCATCGTTAGAGATAGACCAGCATCTCTCCTGTAAGATAACTTCCCAGGAATTCATAATAAGAGTCTTATCTTGGACAGGAGAGCTTTTAAATGTATTTTGAGGGAGTATTAAAGGGCAACATGATATAAATCAAACTCAGGAAAGCATAACAAAACATCACAAATCAGTCTCAGCATGAGGGACACATGCAAAAACAGAACAACCACAGAAACACTTCAGCAACAGCAACAATATAAAAACACACATCCCTTCTTAACAAGGATCATTATCAAGTGGTCATTACTCTGCCTCAGTGACGCAGCAGTGAACTGGGCGACAGAAAACAGAAGAAACAAACTACGAAACAAAGTCTGCTGCCTTGCTGTTGCATCACTGCTGAGATCCACCCAATAACCACAAATGAACATGCTGGCACCAGCAAATGTTCTGGACTGGGACCAGCGTTGGGTACACCGCTTAAGATTAATGGATTGGATAGTCACCATGGCCGTAAAAATCCCCCGAAAAGAAACCATTACAACCTCAAGAGATGGTCGGATTTAGTGCTTTTTGTGTAGGAAGGAGTGAGGTATTTTCTACCACTGTTTCACCAAAAAACTAATTTACTGTATGTGCATAGTTGATGGCCAATGGGGCCCAAAATTGACCAAAGCTATAAAATTAGTCAACTTTTACGATGTTCAGAAATGCCTATAATGCAGGCTTGTATTATTATAGAGGCACATTACCAAGCTAGTAAGCAAGGAGAGCCGAGTAGCAAAGCAAAAGGTGATACATTTTTATCTTGTGCACACAAGTTAATAACGTCTCCATAAAAAAACTTATATAAAAATTATATTTCTACATTTTTCTCTACAGGGATCTGGCCAAGCAGATAGTTTTGAGTCTATGTGTTGAGGGTTTGAGATTACTGCCTCCACCCGTATACAATGGAGGTGAATGCAATTTTGTTGCTCAAAGCTGATTTAAAGCAGCATTAATCCATTTTTGACCACTTGGGGGCAGTGCAACAAGCTATAAATGCAACACTGACATTATGACCTTGTAAAATTGATAATATATAACACAGTTGTTGATACACTCAAGAAAACAACCCTAATTGTACACAAGTCTGTTTAGTAGTGCTTCCAAAAAACCTGCAAAGCCTTTATCACAATATTTGCACTCCACCAACTCCTGAGGGAAATAATTGGCTCTTTAGCTGCTAAACGCTCCACTATGTTCAACAGTTAGTCACTAACTTTGTGTGAGGCACTGCGTACGGCAGGTCGATCTGAACATTTCCAAACTGCTGCAGGTGGAAACGAGGTTGATTAGAGCAACAAGAGTGAATTTAAACTGTAAAGCTGCTGATTGTAAAACCAAAACAATGAGCTGTGAGACTAAAACGGTCTGTAGAGCTGAGAGAAACTGCAGAGTTGAGTTAATTCCGTAAATCTGTCACTACAAGAACACCGTTACCATTAAACATAGTTCATTGACCACTGATCATGATGATGCAGCTTTAACACAAGTTCAGCAGATGTCTTAAGAAACAACAAAGAACACTGTAGAGAAAAATAGTCCCCATGAAATCTTACAGTGCATTATCTACAGTAACCGGGGACGCTGTTTCTGGAAAGAGATGTGGTTGTTGAATTAGGAAACAGCACAATCAGACCTCCATTCACCTCTATTACACTGGGGTGGCAGCAGAAAAACAGGTCTCTCAAAACCATGACAAGTAAAAAAAAAACAAAACAAAAAAAAACAATCCGCATGGCTAGGTGCTACTGATAAGTGAGAACATGCATTTATTTGTATTTTAGTTGAACTGACCCTTTAAAAAGGCAACGCTGTAGTTCTGTTTGACTCATAACTGCAACTTTTTATTCAGAAAAAAAAATGAGCATAAAAAGAGCACATGCAACACTTTGATTTGAGCCTCAGGCATGCATGAAATCAGACCTGGTATGCGCTCGCTGGAATAATTCATATGGCCGCATGATTCCAAATTCTAGGAATACCACATGTTGATCGCTCCCAGAGATAGGCCGGGTTTCACATTGCGCCTCTGCGGGCCAGAGGGGCTTAAGGAGAGCAGCGCTGGTCATTACAGCGCCACAGGGGAGATTGTCTGATCACAGCTCCTCACTCCACACTCTGTTTACATTCTGATCAGCAACACCAAGTCCCATCATCCCCGTACAAATGGATGTTTATTTAGACAGTGGACTCGAACAGGATTTCATTGTAATCTCTGCAGAGGGTGACAGTGAAAACATCACTCTAGGGTTTCAGCCAGCAGGGAAACTGCTGTTCGGCAGTGTAAATAGAGAAATTACATCCCATAAGCACAGCGGAGGGAAGAAAGGGCTCTTTCTTAACACTAGATTTGGGAGATGAAATCAGTATGTACATAGTTTCTGGTTTCTTCCAGTGCAAATGTTTAAAGTATAAAAGGGCAGGATTGTTCACACACACACACACACAGACACACAGACACACACACACACACACACACACAGTTTGTTGCCACTGACAAGTGGCAGATTGAAGCACAAAATGTCAGAAAATGACAAAACTCTACAGTTCTGCATTTTACACTTAACATTGAATATTTTGTCAGATCCGTCCACCAAAACAAAGACTTACTTTCAAATACTATTCTACCCAGGTCTCCTCGCAGCCTTTGCTTAAGATAAACTCTCACAAGAGAAACATGGTTTTTAAGGTCAGTTCATGATGTTTTCTGGTGTGTGTGTGTGGTCTTTGCGGTGTGGAGGGTCGACACAGTGGGAGTTGAGTTCAGCAGAGGTTCTGTACCGAGCTGCGTGCTCAGGACAGAAAACCTGTCCTATGGCCTATGGCTCAACCAAAGAGCCACAAAGATTATGTTTTTTTTTTTCTCAGACTGTTTTATTTTGAATAATCTTTAGTATTGAACAAGAGACAAAGAGTCTACAGCCATGCCTAGCAGCTCTGTGAAGCTGTGCTAAATGCAGCTGTCAGCATGCTCACATATCAACAGTGACAATGCTAAAATTCAGATTTTAAGCAGGTATGTTGCTTATCAACTTCCATGCCAACATTTTCTAATTAGCACAAAACATAATACAGTTGAACGCCAAAGTTAATACAGTTCATCCTGAGGCCGGCAGGAATGTGTGTACCAAGTGTCATAGCAATCCATCCAGTAGTTGTTGAGACATTTCACTTAAAAATTACAAACGTCAACCTCATGGTGGCACTAGAGGAAATAATTTCTATCCCAAGAACATTTCTGTAGAATTTAATGGAGATCCATCCAATAGTTTAAATATTTCAGTCTGGACCAGATAGCCACACGTTGCCACTGCCATCCCGAAAACCACATTGCTAACTAAAGATCAAAGAAAAGTCAAAAGAATGAACACAATTCTGTGCTGCAGAACATCTTGAGATCTCTCGGGAGGGGAACTAGCAATCAAAAGAATTAGAGCAGCTCTAAATAAACCATTATTTTCGTCCTACAGAGAGTCATCTCTCTAAACTCTAATTGAGAGACGATCATTAAGGACTTACCTTGGCGTTTTGCAAGGCGGTCTGGTAGCTGGACGGCTTGTAGTACAGCCTCTGGGACAGCTCGGTGTGGATGTCTCCTAGAAACAGCTCCTCCACCAGATGATCCAGGTTGTGATGCAGGTACTGCTTCTCTACCCTCAGCAGCTGCAGCTCATGCATGGTAAAGTTAAGCTCCTTGGAGCAGTCAAAGGCGCCCTCCTCGCTCAAGAGCTCGTAGATCACATTGGGCTCCCAGGGGCCCTTCACTGCCCCTCTGCAGCTGCGGTTGAGCCTCTGGCTGACTTCTTTGGCCACGGTGGCTGTGTGACAAACCATCTGGACACGGTGGAGATGGTAGTCCGCCTCTGTGCCGCCGCGGATGATCCAGGAGGCCTGGCGTAAGCGCAGACGACCCCGAATCACCAGAGTGTAGGTGGGTTTGGTGCAGTGATTGTCCTCGTAATAGAACTGGTGAGCCTGGAAGGTGCTGTTGGTGAAACTGTAGGAGCGCGTCAGGAACTCTGGGCCTGATCTCACCTCACAGCTGCAACAGAGAACGGGAAGTTTCAGATAAATGCCGTACAAGACTACTCGCAGAAAAATATTCCAATAAATATCAAGAAGATTTAAACTGATTCAGAGATTCAGTGTGCAGAAAGCCATTCTCCTTTTGCATTGCCTGTGTTTGTTGTGGTTTAAAGACCTTCTGACTTTAATTGAAAATAAGATCTTCTGAACTTTTAATGTGGAATGAAATTATGAATTGAGTTTTGGTGTCGGATGTCGAGGAATGTCTGAATTCTGGTCTTTTTCATGTTTGTCTAATCTTTGCAACGCCATAGACCAAAATATACCATTAGCTTCTACAGTAGTTCCAAATCTGTAGAGCAATTCATCATACTTAAAGCTACATTTTAATTACAGTATGCATGTAAAAGCCCAACAAGAAATAAATAGCTAGCAACTCTGTGCAGCACATTGGTTTCATGCTTTGTATTGGAACTATGTTAAATTGCATCTTCCCCTTTAAATAAATAAATTCAGATATTGCTTTTATTTTTACCTTCCAGGCAGCCACTGGTTCATTCCAGTATAGTAAGAACCTGACTTGAAAACTATTTTGCCATTTTGGGGTCAAAGTAATGTTAGTGTGGTAATGCAGATGCAAGCAGGAAATTAAGTGAAAACTCTCTGTGTTGCATTCAGTGAAACTAGATTTATGATATGGTCGATGCAAAGCATTATGGATTTCTTTTAAAAAGTGAAAAAGATGATGTGGATTAGGTCATATACCAAAAAAAAAAAAGAGAGTTCAGATGTTCAGCAGATGAAAATAAGTACCACAAATGACAAAGGATTTCAAAGCACTTTAAAAACTGCTCACAAAACCACTCTGATAGAACAGACTAACAAAACAGAAAACTGTGCAAAGTGTATTTTCTTAATATAGAGGAAGGAAATAGCAGTAATCCCTCTATACTTAAAAACCATGTTTTATGGCATCAGAAAAGGGTAGGAGCTCTTCCTGGACTTAATTTAAGGTTCCCTTTGGATGCATATGGACGCAAACATCACAAGAAAACTCCAAAGCACTCAATCATTTATTTTTATGTTTTAAGAAATGTCTGCAGTGTTGTTACTAATAGTGCAGTATATGCAGGAAGTTCCCCAATAAACATCTATCGCCATTTCTTAATGCACTCATTTAAATGTAATTGCCTGGTTGGATTGGATTTTATATGTAAAAACTCCCTTGTTGTTTACCTGGTGGACACCCAGTGACCCTCAACGTTTGGAGGCATCTGCACAGTGATTCGGGCTCCATTGTGAAGGTGCTTCAACATGTGATGGCACTGGGAGTCTTTGACCAACCGGCCGAAAGTTTTCTCCATGGAGAGGCGGCTGGACCGACCGTCTGAGTAGTGAAGAGAGGAACCTCCAGCCCAGCCTGAGGGAAGAACAAGGACACCAAAGGTTTAAGCTCGGGTGATAAAGGCATAAAAAAAGAAACATAAAAACATCAGAGAAAGAAATTTAATCCATTCGATTTGTGCGTTACATAAAAATTTCAGGATTCAAATGATTTTATTGTTGAATTAATTAAAGCAGCATCAAGGAACTTTAATTTTTTGTTGATTTTGGCAACCCCTGTGGACAAAAGTGGTAGTGTTTCTACTTTCTTGTTTGACTGATTTTAAGGGGAATCCGCCCCAGTGGCAAGAATAACTATACAGAAATAGCCAACAGGTCATATAGAGACATCAGTATTAAATTTAGACTGTTTCATAACTCCATGTAGTACATCTGAGTAGTGTTATTATACTGAAATCTTGAATAGATACATCATTTAAAAAAATTCAAGACACATGTAAAAAGCTATTCAGTGATGTTTCAAGAGGTTTGCCTCATTGAGGTTGAAACATTGAATAAACCACTAAAGAACAAGTTTAGTTTGGCAGAGCTGGTTTCTTTTAGATCTCTTCATCCTAATAAATGAAGCACAACTGCTGTTAAAGGCAACATCCTAATAAATGAAGCACAACTGCTGTTAAAGGCAACTAATAGATCATATAGAAAAATAAATTGTCTTGTTAGTTTGAAGCTTGGATCTCATGCTTTCACTCTGCTTATTCAATCAGTCGGGCCTCTTTGAAGTGCTTAAGGGTTTTATTTAGTCATTTTAACTCATGTCATCACCCACGGATTACTGGGCTTTATCAGTGACCTGCAACACCTGGTATGAGTAGAGTCTTTATGGGTCAATATTAGCTGAACATGTGATGAAAAGGCAAAGCTTCAGATGTTCCAAGTTGAAGAACTGATTAGTGGGTTTCCGCTGCCACAGACAAACACTAAAACAAACTCTGAAATCAAGCTACAAACAAAGTTAAAGAAGGAAGCGAAGCAGCATTGACTCTTCTAAAACTCAGTTCTCCCACTCTGTCCGCGTACCCCTCAATGCACCACATGAAATAACAATACCTTCAACAATGGGCTGAGCTTAAGGGGATAAAATATCGGAAATGAAAGCATTTTCAAAGCCTGCAGCCAAAGAAAAGCCTTCAAGCTCACATTCCAGCAAGGATTTATTCCATATAATACTCTAAATATCGTCTAAATCTACCTTGAAATATGAAGACTTTGCCTTAAATTCTTTCTATTGGACCCGACTTGCCTGGCAATATCATTTAACGCCTTGGAATGCCGCTGCGGTCACCTCTGTGCTTTTAATTTGAGACTAATAACACACACAGAGGGAGGAACAAAAACATCTGATTAAAAGCAGCCAAAAAAGCTTCACAAAGGAACAAAGCTCCATCCAGTTGTTTTACACCCAGCGAGGCAGCAACTATGTGTGTTAGCCGAAGCTTGTGTGTAAATCACCACATCACAGCGCTGCTCAATGGAAACACTGGACAGTGGGGAGACTTGATCCCCCGACTCAGCTGGTGGCATTAGTAACGCTGCTGCTGGCTGGAGCTGTGTTAAAAATCAAAGACAAGGCTTCACAGTTTGCTGCATTTTATGTGTGAGTGTGTGTTTATGTGCGTGTGAGGCCTTTTTTTTTGCACCTGCAGTCAGGGCAAAGAGCCTGAATCACTAAGTGTATGTAAGTGTGTGAATTAAAAAGGAAACCTAGTGAGATGTGTAAATCAAACACTCTTTTTAACCTTCTATCTAACCACTATCTGACCAGCAGAAACCTGGTCAGATAGTGCTTCTGGTTTAACAGCAGGTGAATTTCAAGGTAGGACACACACACAGACACACGCACGCACGCACGCACGCACGCACGCACGCTGGTCATTAGGGAACTATTCCTTACATAATTTGTTCCTGATCACCAAAACCTGAAAACATTTCATGTTGTGGGGAGGGCCACATGGATGATAAAACCCACTCGCATACACATCAAGTATAAAACATACAGTGTGGAATGATTTCTGGGAATTTGGTTTGGATTTACATGACAATAGGAACTTGAGGAGAGCTGAGATGAAGATAAATCGCAGACAGATAACTCAGCGCTACAGCCAGAACCCTGGAAAGCTTCCAGAAATCAGCCATGTTGGATTAAAATACCTCCACAGACGGTTATTATGGAAATGTTATATTAAGACACAGGAAGAAGTTGATGATAAGATGGGGAATTATTTCCTGACGTTCTGCTACAGCGTAATCTATATGTTGAGGAGTAATGCTCGAGCTGCTGAATAAAGCAATTTGCAAACATTGGAAGAAACCAAATCACAAACAAACCTCTCCAGTATCTTTAATATCTATTTAGCTTCCAAACAAATCAGTGACTTCCCGCTTTCTCCTCACTTAAAAAGGTGTGCCGTGTTGAAAACCACATGTAGGATGCACCTTTCTTCCCCGTTTTGAATAACAGATGTGGATAAATTATTAAGTGTTTATGTATCTGATGTTAAACTTGAACGGCAGCAACACACCTGATCCAGAGTCAGCTCCAGCAGACCAGGACTTAATTTGTGGCTTTGTGAAAATATCATAATTATAATGAAACGTGCGCTTTATTTAGAGTAATTTTAAAACACAGTTACAAATCTATTTTACAAAGAGTTTTACGACATCAAAGCACAAACGAGAACTCAAAATGGAAAACAGGCTTATGGGGAAATAAATGAGGAAATGATTAAAAAGAGGTTATGTGTAGCCTGTTTGTAAAATTACTTTTTAAGAGGACGTGTCATACGACTTCTTCTCAACTCATTTAATGATTGTTGAATGTGCGAGTGGTGGGAGTTTCTTCCAATAGCTTTTTTTTTTTTTTTTTTTTAAAAAGAAACCAAAACTCTCCCCTCATTACAGCAATAATCGGAGCGGCTGGATTCGAACCCTCCTCCGGTCCCTCGCCGCTCAAACTGCTGCTCTCTATCTAAATCAAAGCGCCCACAAAACTCCCAGAGCCCTAAAACCACAGAGAACATTTCCAGTTGGCCCAATCCCACTGGTGAGGTAACAGCACTGGGACCCCTGACAAGCAGAGAGACTCCACATCGTTTATGGGAAGAGAAAAATCGAGAAGTGCCCGAGCAGAGACCAGACAAAAGGACTGTTCTTTGTGTTATCTTAGCATTTGGCAGTGACCATGTCGGACTTGAACAGGGGAGAGAAAATAACACTTAAGAAGCCACTGATGCTTGAGTGTTTTTATTTTGGAAGACTTCTTTTCCCCCTGGATTTTAGGGCAATGTTGTGGTTTCTGTAATCTAATAAACATTTTTTCTGACAGCTGTAGGTATGAGTTAGTTGGTGTGGGTTATGATTTTACATTCAGCATGAAGTAAGGTCAGAAAATATAGTTTTTGTTGGGTAACCAGGGGTGGATCTACAAAAAGCCTGGCCACCCAAGTTTGATGTCTAATTGAAACACATTCATTTAGCTTAATTTAAAAAAAAAAGAACATGTTAAAAAACACAAATTAACCAACAACCTCCACGCTCTCCTCCAGCCACCCCATGAATATTTCTCTAGATCCGCTCCTGTGGGTGACTGGAGTCTACAGCCAGTTAAGACTGTATGCAGGCACAGCAGAGTTTTGAGCTAAATGCTAACATCTACAGGCGAACGTGCAACAGACAGAACAGAAAAGAGCAGATATGGGCGCCACGATAGATGTTTTGCATGTTAACAAGCTCACAGCGACAATGTTAAGAAAGTTTACACTACCAATCCACTGCAGTCCATCCAATAGATATTGAGACCTGCTGGTGGTGCTGGAGGAAAAGTTAGAAGATCTTTACGATTCATCTTCTGGGCACCATGAATATATATATCTGTACCACAGTTCATCCAGTAGTTGTCGAGACATTTTACTAAAACCAAACCAAACCTCAATAATACTTAAAGTCAGATCACCAAAGTCCGAAGTACCGCTCACACTCTGGGGACCATGAAACTTCATGACAAGCCCTCCAACAGTTGAGAGAGAACAAAATAACTCTTGTAGAAGCTTCATGACACAATTGATTTCAATGCATTGTGTAGACGTTTCCACATATTTATAAATCCATATAGTTGTTTTCCGTTTGCGAGGTCAAAAGTGAATTTTGATTTTTTTTTAAGCAAATATGGACAAAAAAATCCAAACTCCACCTGTTGATGAAGATCATGTGATATAATTGAAAGTTGTAGTTGTTACTAAATGGACCTTGAAGTGTTTATTAAAGTTCTTCACGATCAGCACTTATCCTGCAGGAATGAAGAATATTCTCCCAACTTGACTTCTTCCTCCACCACTGAATCACTGCTGGTACAGAGGAGGGACGTTACTGGGCTGCATACCAATTAGCATCATTTATATCTCCTTCATCTGTCTGTCCTCCATCTTTCCCCTGTTGGTTTGTTCAAACTCGTGACCGCCCCTCTTTTCTTTCTGTTGCTGCAGTTTGTCTCCATTTGTCAAACTTGTTGTTGACATGATTTCTAAGAATGTGTCCCGAAGTTCACTTTTCAAAATATACAGTGATCCTATATTTATTGTCACCTTTGTATAATAACATTTAACATTTTAACTGTCAAATATCCAGCCTCAGTACATGGCAGTGCTCTTTCATTCAGTGTGCATGGCTAAAAATGTTTGTTTATGTTACGTGTTTGAGGAAAAAAGCTGATTTATAAATTTTCAAACTTTTTCTTTATATATATATATATATATAAGTTTCGGTTAAGTCCTAGTCTGTAACTGTGATTAAAATGGTTAAATAGCCTTTTTATGAGGTGTTTTCTCTATTTTTGCTATAGTTTGCCAGTTTTGTCAGCTTCCTGTATTGGCCACGACTAAAAAGTCAGAGACTCACACATCCCCACATCTGCGAAAAAAAATCCAACTCTGCCACCAAAAGCAAAAGAAGAAAACATCACGAAGAACATAAAAAGTTGTAGGATAAGCGATTACTTGAGCAAACCGTTCAGACATCCCTTTTGCATTGAATTCTTGCAAATTGCTGAATATTTACAGATGTAGTAAAACTTAAAGACTCTACTGAGGCCCAGCGGAAGTCTTATTAGTTTCCTATCAATGAGAAAGGTGAAGTACGAGCAGCTGCCGTTTCTTTCTGTGTCTTTTTTTAAAAACTTTGCTGTTTAAACTCTCTGAAGGCTTGCTGAGGTTTTTTCTCGCCCAGTAAATTTACAACACGCACTAATCTAGGCTGACAGTGCATTTTCATTGCCACTGCGAAAGGCTGCAATAACACACCACTTAATTGAACGTTAGATTCACTTAAACACACTTAAGGATAAGTGGACTCCAAAATATCATTTTATCTCAACCCGGTCATTTGAAGTTGCAGCCAAACGTTGCCTTCCACTGTCACTTGGCAGCAGATGGATTGGGTCAACTGCCGTCCCATAATCCTCTGCTGCTCAGACAGGGTTTTCATCAGGAATGGATGTTTTAAGTGGCTCTTAACTCTCTCAGTGCTTTCATCTGCCCAGCAGCCCCAGGGAAGCTTTTTATTGCCTTTTTAGCCTTCAAACATGTTCATCACCGTGGCATAAGGGATAACTTAGCCAGAAGATATTATTAATATTAGTCCTGTTGGACACAAACACACAGAGGCATGATGGTAAACAGGTGTGCTGAGGTGAAGAGAGGCATGTCAGGTTCCTGTCTGACAAACATGCTTCACTGGAGAAGCAGAAACATTTTAAATATAATGGATTTTCTAAAAAATATATATACATAATTTAGAAGATCTCATCCATTTTTATTAGAGCTTCTTCCATAAAGCTGTTTTTCACGCACACGTGTTTACCAACACTTGCTGCACAACATGGCTCAAAGTCAAATTCATGTAAAACTTTCTTACCCAAAAAAGCAACGAGGAGCAGCGCAGTTGACGGCCCCATTCCGCACTTGAGGGGGGGACAGAAACGAGCTTCACTGGTGACACTGGGGAGATCCGGAGTTTCCTTTACGCGGCGTCCTTGTTTATTCCGACACAAATCCTCACATTATGTATCCAAAGCGTGGAGGAAACACTCCGGCGATATCCGAGCATCCTAGGAAACACACCACCGGTTCGCTGGAGAGAATAAAAACAAAACCTCCTCCTCTCGCCGCCTGATGTACCTGAGGGTCAAAACAAAAGAATCGCAACTAGAAGACGAATTCAAGTCCAAACTTTACTGCGGAACTCCCTGCAGGAGTTTAACTGTGTCTGTCACTGTTGGAATGAAGCGGCTCGGTTGCTTTTACGCGCGTCCTCCGTGCGTCCTGGAGGAGTGTTTGTACGTGTGTTCAGAGAGTGGACTCAAACACCACCCCCCTGCCTCCCTCCCGCCTCTGTGGAGACTTTAGGGGCGTGGAGTGTGTGTTGAAGTTTTCTCCCGTTAGGTGCACACTGCAAAAAGTCGTCCCATGTGTGCAAGGTGTGTTGGTCAACTGTGGAACCTGGAGATGTTTTCAGTCTTAAATAAATTGAGATGGCTTTAATTTTATTATAACCTCAAGCAAAGTTGCAGAGCAGCATCAACATTGTATCATCATAATGCATAATATATGTAGTTTTTAACTTTATTCCTCAATTTGAAAACTGAATTTAAACTTTAACTGAAAAACAGATTTTAACTCTCATCTGAGACTAAATTGGTCAAATAAAGAAATTGTACCTATTTATACATTTTAGAGGGTAAAAATTTCTTTGCTTATTAGAAACATTTTCCTTCCTTAATTATTACAAACAAAATTAGTTTTCAAAAATCATAATCACATACCAAAGGAGTTATGTTCCAAAGTTGTCAAAGCAAGATTCATATAGTAGTAGGACTTTAACTTAAAAAGTGACAATGTCATTTTAAAGCTAATTGAGCCCCACATTTATGTCCCAGTACAGCCAGAAGTGACAAACCCAAAGTTAAAAGGTTTATTTTCTTTAACTCTTTTAATTACTGTCAGTAGGTTTCTGTTGTTGCAGTGACATTGGTTTACACAGATAGAATAGTGAAGGGATGATCAAATTAGTGATCTATCTAGTGACTTATTTAAAGAAATATTGTGTTATTTGGGATTAAAGTTGTCCTACGGTGACACTGAACCTTCACTGTTGAGTTTTCAGTCCTTTTGTTTGTGTCCAACATGCTGCTTCTTATCAATCATGATGAATGCTGCACATTTTTCTTGACCGTTGCTCTCAAATTATACACCTTCTCATCATAGCCTGCCTGCCTGGAGGGAGGAACTTCAACAAAGGTTCACAGAGGATTTACCTCCCAACACCTGTTGTGTGTGTGTGTGTGTGTGTGTGTGTGTGTGTGTGTGTGTGTGTGTGTGTGTGTGTCAGAGATAGTCAGACAGAGAAAGAGAGAGCGAGAGAGAGAGAGAGAGACCTTGGCCTTGAGTTTCCAACTCTCTGTCTCTTTTCAACTTGTGGTTCTTTGCTGTCGTCTCTCTGATCTTTTGACCCTGAGGCGAGTCTCCAGCTCCTCCTCATTCATCCACTCAGCCACTCTGACACCGAGCCAACTGTGTAATATCTGCCTTTAAACCAGCGGCCTCAAACTCAAATAGGCTCGGGGGGCCACTGCTGGTAATGTCATCTCATAGGACAACCACTTCAACATTGAAGGACTGCAAAACAAAGTGCCATATTCTAAAAATATTTCCATTAGTACCATCATATTCAACAACAACACAAAAACCAAACAGCAGTTTCCCTACATTTTTATATCATCTTTATTGTTAGCTGCCAAAAACACATCTATCTATCTTAATATTATATGAAAGGTTAGTTTAAATTCAGATTATACTGTTATTTTTGACATTATGTTGCAGGCTGGAGGGAAGGGGGCCAGAGGGCCGGAAATGGCCCCGGGGTCAGCAGTTTGAGATCCCTGGTTTAAACACTGATTGTATCTGCACAAAAGCACTTTTTTCTTTTATGATGATAGATTTCCTTTTCAGCTTACAATGACTGATTATCAGCTTCACAACTTATGACTTAAAGCTCCACCTTTAAGCTGCAACTTTTCCATAGAAAGATTAGATAGAGGAGACTGGCAGGTGGAACATTTTATGTTTTACCACAGTAGAACAACTGGTACCCCTTAAAGGAGTATTTCAAAGATTTTGCATTGTACTTGTATAACAGTGTCAGACTTACAATGGACATAAAAACATAAAAAAAATTACACATTAACCATAATGCAACTTGGCTACCAACAGTTGGTTGGAGATTTGGGTGTGTTATGTGTAGCGGCTAATGTAGCCTTGAGCACAGATGAGTAGTGAGCTATCTGGGAACTCCACACCCACGGTTATTTGTTTTTTATCATTTTTAAACTTGTTCAACCTCTTCAGCCTTAACCAATGCTGACTCAAGTGACATCACTTGAGGTGATTTATCAGATTTCACGCAGCACTCTCTGGAGCCACAAAGTTTTTAATCAGCTTTTTTTCACCTAGCAGTAACACTCCCAATGAAGCAAATATCACCTGTACAGCCAAACATTGTTCAAATTCATGCTTATTCAAACTGATACAGAAGTAGGGCTGCAACATATTCACATTTTCACTATAAATGAATCTGTCAGTCACATTTAATTAAACTCTTTTTATCATTTAGACTATAAAATATCAGAAAATAACAAGAAATGTCGATGACAAGCTCCCAGAGGTCAAAGGTGACACCTCTAAATTACTTGTTTTCTGCAATTTCCTGTTATTTAAACAGAGTAAAGTACAAAATCCTCACATTTAAAGGCATGAACTTGAATCTTTATGACCTTAAAAGTACAAAATGGCAACATTAGGAGGTTAATAAACTTTTGCTTATGTATTTCCAATCACCTATAAAAAAAGGCACCAAACAAACTTGTGTCTCAAAGTGCAGAAATATTTTTTGCAGTGTAAACTTTACATCCATAAGAGATATGATAGTGAAGGAGGCCCCGGCCATACACAAAAACAGTATTTCACGTGCTTATCCAATAATCCTCCAAACCTTAATCAGTAGAGCAATCCTCTACTCAGGGTTCTAATTAATTTCTTTTGTCTGGAGTCTTAACCCTCACGGCTGCCTCCCTCTACGCTCCATGGTATTTGCTCTTTTTCCTCTAATCCTGGATCCACGCTCTGGGAGAGTGACTCTCTCTCTCAGTTCCTTCTTTTCTCTGGATCCGGAAAAAGCCGCAGAGCGAGATCCGGACAAACAGACTGATAGGATTTGCAAGAAGCCCGGAAGGGGTATTAATAAGAAGGCTGTATAGAGGAGAGGCTGGAGGCAGGGAGGTGAAACTGGGAGGCTTGTTCTGGTGTGCTGACCCCTGCGTTGTCCTGTGTGGCTAATCAAAGCATCACTGCACCCTCTTTGTGTTGCTGCAGGAATGTGATCTACGAGAGGTGAAAATAAGACTGCTTTGATTGTCAAAAGCCTCAATGGGACAGTAAAACCAGTGAAAAACTATTTGCAATCACATTTCCTATAGAGAGTGTTGATTTTATCTCATAAAAAACTGTCTCATGGTGCAACGTGATTACGATTTTGCCTGTAAATGCTGAAACTTTCTAACATGTTTTTTGTATTAAGCCTTTATCATCAGTGTCCCTAAACATGTCAGAGCAGATGAATGTGAATGGGGACATTTCAAAGTTGTTGTCTCTCTGTTTCTGATTAAGGCCTTGTTCTGAAGAACTGGATGACTGTGCTGTTTTCTGTTTGCCTCTTTTTTCATGTCTCCCCGTAGACGTTTGTGTCATTTCTGGAGAGTGTTGTAAAAGGCGGAATGAGAAGGGAGTGGCACACAGTGAACATAAAACTCACACTGAGTTATGGGATGTTAATTGTTTGACTGTTTATTGTTTGTTACTGTATATAAGGTCAGAGGAGTTATTGACTTGGCAATAGCTATGTGTTTTCAGTGACATGTTAGCTGTCATTGAATATGAAACCTCTTCAACCCTACCGACGTACTGGTGGGCCATTCAGACTTTCCTCAAACACCACAGGATTTAATCTTCTCCACAAGGGAGATCAGAAAGTTTATACTAATATAAATATACCAAATATGTCCGATTGAACTTCAGAGAATTGGGTATAAAATGACGCATCTGAAATATTTCCATTTAGTGTGATTGTGCAGTCATATTAAACAATGGAGTCTCTGGTCTGGGTATTTCATTGAGTGTAAAACTATACTGCAGTATCAACAAAGAGCTGGAACGAGATCATGTAGAATATATATTATAATGTCAGTGTGGAGATTATTTTAACATTCTTACAGCTACTTAAACTTGCAATAAAACCCATTTTGGCCGCAGCAGAAAAAAAAGTGGTAACACAAAACTGACATATAATCATCTATCATCTCAGGTTGATATGGTAAACAATGGCTTGTTTACATATCCAGCAGATACAGAGAGACACTAACATTCATTTGGAGTTGTGTTTCCATCCACCTGATGAGTCAAATATCGTTTTAGTTGTGTTTTTGGTTTCCACCAACTCCAGAAGGAAATAGATGGCCTTTTAGGTGCTAAATGGCTGCCTAGTTGCTAACTTTTGACTTTTGTCAGCTGATGGGCAGTTGACAAAGTTGAAGTTAGTTTTTTTTTTTTTTTTTTAGCTTTTTCAAAAAAAAAAGTTGCCTGAAAGACGCTAAAATGTTTTGCAGAGCTGAGCAGCTTTCTTCCTAACCAGTTGTCACTCATCATGCAGTTAAAGGAGTTCTCAGGTGATTTAGTATTTCACTTCCAGATAATTGGGGGAAATGGTCCAAATCTGTGCAGCAGAAGGCACGCTAACTTTTAGTCCCTTGTGTTGGTCAAGCTTGAAAAACACTGGATCCTACAATTACCATAATGCACCTGAAAACCTGTTTCATTGGACCCACCCAAGTGCATACTGAAATAACCCCGATAACAACACAAGGAGTTTTTTTGTCAGACTTAGGAAAACTCCTCCAGAGTCACAGAAGACATTATCGACTGTTTTCCTGAGTGACCCTTCAAGTGAGATAAAACATCTAAAATATATCTGCAAACATGACTGTACTTGACCCACGTTTGCCCCAACTGCAGAAGGATGAAAAGCTCAGCAGTCAAACAATGAGTCAAATATGTGAGGTAGCCTTGAGCCCAGTCGAGGAGGCTTGGCTCCAAGTTCAGTTTCAATATGGCCGACATCTGCTGCTGCAGAGACAATTGAAACAGTACAGTTAAATCAGTCCAGACCAGGAGCGGGAAACAGATAGACAAGAGGGGGGGCAGAGAGGAGGTGAGGGAGGTTATTTCATTGGTAAATACTC